GTGAGAGCATTCTCCGTCTCCAAGACGAAAAGAACTCTCCTTGTTCAAAAGACCCAGTTCTACTGAACCACATACCCATCTTAATAAGAGTGAAGATACTTATAAAAGAGAAATTTTAATTTATGCTGAAAACATCTCAGGAGATAACATCCTGATATTTCCTGGAAGCAGGTAAATCGTGGCATTCTATGCTTTCTTTTAACACAGGGAGCACTTGAGCTCCTACAGATAGGAAACGTGGAGAAGATAAATCCAAAGATGTATGCATCAGGTACACTCCAAAGTTCACCTGTGAACAAAACGGCAACAGCAACAACAAGGTAGATTATTTTAGCAGTTGAAATCCTTTTGTAAATAATAATATTCAGCTAAAATTAAGCCAGATCTTTAAAGATATGTACTGGGACTTGATATGTCCTGTCACTTAGCAGAATGTGGTAGGAAACAAGAAGACTCCTCATTTCAGACACCAAAGGTTCTCATTCTAAAGTGTCCTTTCCGGACAGTCACCCCACACCTCTTCATTGCTGGACACATTCTTTTTCTCCTTCCTGTCTACTCTGAGCTTTACGCAGGATGGCTTTCTTCCAGCTCTGGGCCTCTAATCATTGCTAGGCTGATTTTCACTCTGTTCCCCGATGTAAAAGCCATTTTGTGAAAATAATGGCAAAATTCTGCATTTTCCTTGAGAACGTGTGATGTCAGTTAAGTTCTCCAAATTAACAAAATTAACAGTTGAGTAAATCTGCTCAAGGTTTGCCATCAGTACCATCCAATAAGAACCCTTTAAAGTATGTGACGTGCTCTCAGATTTGTTCATTCCTGTGGTAACATCAGTTGGCCAGCCACATGTTCCAGGCTCCAGGCTTGGACCTGGGGCCAGATGAATTCTTTAAGATTTGTGCACATATGGATGAAGAGTACACAAGAACTCTCTGTACTACCTTTGTAATTTTTCTGTAAATCTAAAATTATTCCAAAACTTAAAAAGTAAAAGTTCTGTGCACATGAGAATTATAGTGATGCTGAGAAATACTACTTCGATGCACCACAGTATTTGTGCCCACCCATCCCCTCTCCTGACAACCTACAAGGGACAGGTTCAGAATCCCCATGCCCCAGTTGACACAGCTTGCCTCAGCTGAGTATAACACTCAAGTGCCACACCTCTACAGACTGTAGCTATCCAGTATCTGTAAGGAGATTGTGTCAATCGAACACTGTGAAACAAAACCCTGGTTTTGGAGAAACACAAGAAACAGTGCAGAACATTTTACCGTGAGTTAACCTGCCAATTTATTATCACAGCAAGATTAAACATTTGCACTATTTCAGTTAATTTTTAAGAATTGTTTCCGACAGCCTAACCGCTTACTTGACTTCCGGGAATTATTTGCAAACAAAAAGTTCTAACAGAAAGTGCGAGCCTGGAAATATAGCTTCCTAAAGAATCAACCTGTTGGAAGCTTAGCTTTTATAATCTGGAATCTACGACAATATTTAGTCATTTTAACCCTGAAAAAGATAATTTATAAGCTTAGTATGGTGACATTTACTGAATCTTTCTATGTAGTTACTCTATTCATCATAAGGCATTTTACTCTTCATGAGATCTTTGCGATGAAAATATTGAAACAATAAAATTATTTATTTACTTATTTCTCATTTCCACTCCATACCTCTTCAATAAGATTTGAGAGCATCAAAAATATCCGTAATAAGAGCCCCCATAAAAGTGAAGATATGTTTGGAAAGGAAAGATAAGATGGAGCCACAGATGAGTCAGAACCTTCATGGTAGCTCATCAGCCTTTCAATACTCCCCCACTTCTAAAAATTACTCAGCACTATTAGAGATGTAGTTCTGGGGTATACAAAACACCAAGACCTTAAAATGGAGTGTCATATCTTGCAGTGGTACTTACCTTTCTCTCTCGACTCTCAGAAAGCTTTTGGAAAACATTTTGGTTTCGCTGCCCAGTTTTCTGGTCAATGCAAATCATCTGGCATCTGTGACAAGGCCCCAAAACCTGGGAAAGGAGAAGGTAAAAGAAAGGGTTGCCATAAAAGTGATCAGACCCTCCCACTTTGCAGGGAGGAAACTGGGTTTAGGAAGATTGGTTGTAAAAGGCCATCTTCCAGCCAATTTCAGACTTACACAAAAATGCTCAGTACTCTAACTATAAGGAGCCAGAAAGTGGCACCTCTTCACAATGCCGATGCCACTGGGAATCATCTACATTTGTTTATCAGCTGAAAGGCTGCTGCTTCAGGACTTTGCAGAGAATGAAAAGAGTGGTCACGAATCTCAGAGAGTTATGGGGAAAGTTGGAGCTCCTCCCAGGAAAAGGACTAACTGGGTGGAGGACAAACTGGGAAAATATAAACAACCATAGACTTGGCACTTAGCCTCTGTGAGAAAGTCATCAGAATAAACCTTAGTATCTGAACAGACATTTCTTCCAAGACGGCATATAAATGGCCAACAAACATATGAAAAGATGCTCAACATCGCTAGCTATTAGAAAAATGCAAATCAAAACCACAATGAGATACCACATCACACCTGTAAAAATGGCTATTATCAACAAAACAAGTAATAACAAGTGTTGAAGAGGTTGTGGAGGAAAAGGAACCCTCATCCACTGCTGGTGGGACTGCAAATTGGTACAGCCACTATAGAAAACAGTATGGAGGTTCCTCGAAAAACTAAGAATTGATCTACTAAGCAATCCCTCTACTGGGTATTTACCCCACGGACTTGAAAACTCATATCCAAAAAGATATTTGCACACCAATGTTCATAGCAGCATTATTCACAGTGGCCAGGACATGGAAGCAACCAAAGTGTCCTACAATAGATGACTGGATAAAGAAGCTGTGGCCCATATATACAAAGGAATATTACTCAGCCATAAGAAGAGATGACATACTGCCATTTGTGACAACATGGATGGACCTTGAAACAACCATGCTCAGCAAAATAAGCCAGACAGAAAAAGTTGAAAACCACATGATATCACTTATATGTGGGATATAAACCTAAAAGCAACAAACAAACAGGACAAACAAACAGAGACACATGGACATGGACTATAGACTAGTGGTTACGAGAGGGTAGGGGGAGAGGGGAGGAGGGAGATAGACGGGGTAAAAGGGGTCAAATATGTGGTGACAGAAAGAAATCTAACTATGGGAGGTGAACACACAGTGTAAATATATATATGTGTTACTGTTAAAGTATACAGTTGAAACTTACTGGATTTTGTTAACCAATGTCACCATAATAAAAATTAATTTTAAAATAATAAATAAAATAAAATAAAATAAAGCAAATGTGTCAAAGTTTTGTCAACCACACACAAAAAGAAAAGAACAAAAGAACCTTAGGGTGTCCATGTCCTCTGACCCAGCAATTTCACTACTAGAGATTTAACCCAAGAAAAGAATCAGTAGTACAAACACAGATTCATGTATAAGGATAATTCTCACACTATTTTAATAGGGAAAATCTGATAGTACTTAAAACATCAAATAGTAGAGAAGAATGCTACATTGATATGATATATATCATGCAGGTTTTTAAATTAATCTATAAAAGGCATTAGATAAAATGAGAAAATTTTATTTTTATAATTGAAATAAGCAGAAAACAAAATTATGTGTGTATTCTTGTATATGTGCGGTACATGTATATACACGTATATACAAACACTACATAAAACACAGCACACAGCTTCTTAACAGGGGTCATAATTCTATTCTAGATAGTCTGCCAGGAGCATGAATTACTTTTATAGAGACAATTCCCCATAAATGTTAACATAAAAAAACAAAAGAATGCCACTCAGCAATGACAAGGTGCTTCTTTTATTACACACGGAAAAGGTGCAAAAGCACTTGATTTTCTCATAACCATTTTCTCCTTTGCTCACTCATGGGCAAATGCAAAGTGAGCACTGAAATTATAAAAACTCAGCTACATCGAATGTGTCTTGACCTCTTCCTAACGCTCGCATTCTGTCAGGCGGGCAATCAAACCAATGGAAATATAACTCACTGTGGTACCAAAATCAAGATTCCAGAACTCATAAGCAGCTGGCGGGCTGTAAAGGATCTCTGCCTGGTACTTGCCTTGAGAGGCTCGGCAGACCCATGACCTCTCTTGGCCTCATTTCCCCATCCAGCTCCTTAGCAGGATTTGATAAGGAGTCCAGATACTATTTCTAAGAAGCCAAGCCCTAGCCTGGCACTCAGCCATGCTCAAATGTGGAAACTATCGTTATGATATATGATATATCCCCCAAGATAGTCACTTTATGCAACTAGCTAATAACACTGGTATTGTTAATTTCATGCCCCACTGAAGAACTAGGCATATTCTATGCAGATGACCCAACCCTCTGTCCCTAGCTATTCTTTATCTTTCCTGTCCATTCAGGAACAAAACAGACTTGGTCTCCATCCTCGTATGCTCTGAAAGAATGAGCAGGCGCTCTGCAGAGCTTGACCATGTGGTGGGTCAGGAATATCCTTTCCAAGGCGGTAACATCTGAGCTGAGACCCTGAAGTAGTTGCAGAAAGAATATGCCGGACAAAAGGGAGTGCAAAGGGCAAAGAGGCTGAGGCAGGAAGTTTGGCTTCTTAGGGAATGGAGAGAAGGTTGATATAACAAGCAGAAGAGAAGAGGTGATGAGCTCAGAGAGGCTGGAGATTTCAGAGAGGCTAGTGAGTTAGGAGAGGTTGGCTGGGTCAGGCCTGGGAGGAGTATGGGGGTGCATATACGCCCAAAGCCTGGGGAGAGAGGCCATCCAAGTGGCTTTACCTCTGACTGCAAACTCTTCCCCAGCTGACAGCAAGATAAAAGCCAGAACATGGGGAGAAGGTGCAGCAGCCATGGGCACGGAAGGACCACTAGACATCTGAGGCCTCTTCTACAAGTTCCAGACAGCCAAAAAGGCCAAAAGTTGCAGCAGGATAAATTTCTCATAGACAGGAGCATTCAAAGAAAACGAAGTTTAAATCTAGACAGACTGATGAGGTAGAGGCAGCACTTGGCCCTTGATCACCTGAAACAGGGCACATTCTCTCTCTCTTCCTCATGTGAAACTGCTGCCACCTTTGTGGGGTACAAGGGATGGATCATTCCGAGGGGTGCCCCAGAATGCAGATGTCATATACCCTCCTGCAAAGGTTTTGTGGGTAAGAGTCAAAGACGAGGCAGGATTCCCACCTGTCACCATCTTGGTCTAGTTTGAGGTCTGTCTCCACCGGCAACCCTTAGGCAAGGAAAACAGAACTTCCCAGAACTCACCTGGAAATGCAAAGGACCAATTGAAATCTCATCCCATTTCTCTTCTTCAAAAGCACTGGTTCCATTGATAATAATATTGGCACGGAAACGCGAGATGAGATCTTTCATTGGGAATAATTTCTCTTTTCCATTCTCATCACTGTTTAAGACACACAAAAAA